ACACACACACACACACACACACACACACACACTGTTCTCAAAGCGAGACCCCAAGTAAACTTTGCAAAGCAAATCGATCTCTCACTTTTAAAGCTTCCTACACTCACAAAATCTAAAGTGTTGGTGTGCATTTAAAAGCACATTGCTATTTGACAAGTTTATAACATGCTATATATATATATATATATTCCTTGTCCTAACTCATGTGGGATTTTAAGCAACATCCGCGTTGGTATGTCTTCCATGCAAATATCCTGCACTTGACTTTGGTCAGTTATTGGAAGCAGGTCTTCTTGGCTCCTTGGGAAATGTATACCACTGATTAAAAATATAAACTAAAGATCAAGCCTGACTTCAGTATTTGTGAGCGGTAGGTTCCGGAAAAAGCTACCCAATACAAATACAATGAACTACACACCTTTGTCGTACTTTAGCATAGCAAGTATGTCTGACACAAAACTACAGTGTTTTTGTTGGATCATGTACAGACCAGCTAGTGTTAATACGATTTACCAAAGACTGTATAGTTAATGATTCAGTTTCTGTGCATCAGATTATGATGAACTACGTTTCTCTTCCTGCAATCTATCTCAGTGTATGCGGGGTCAAATAAGGGTCAGTGATTCCTCTTACACTTTAACTTATTGGTTAATTTAATTACAGTGGCGAGGCAAGGTGCAGTGTTCAATGGTCCAACCTATAGGTCCCTGACTGCAGGGCGTTAGCCCCTCCCCAGCAGTCTGTGAGCGGCGCCTCCGCGATTTGCACTGAGCCCGTTTACCGTCAAGCAGCCAGCCGCTGCTCCCCATCTGCCGCAGCTCTCCTAGGATGAGGCGGGAGATGACGTCATCCGGGACCAGCTGACCCTGGTCTATGCAGGATTTCATCAGCAGGCCGATCTCTGTCATGGGACAGCAATAAGGGGAGGGGAGGGGAGGGAAATATGCACTGATAACACATCAGAATCTGCGCATCCTCACCAGGGGTTTGCCGGTCTGGGGGCCACAATCCCAATATCAAAACACAACTTGCCAAATCAGGGTTAGAGTGCTTATAACACAAAACCCCTATTAGACAAGAGCTCAGCTACTAAGTTTAAGCTGTGATTAACTTTTAACCATTAACTTTTAACCATTATCGTGTTATAATGCTGATGATTTCTAAGCCCCAGAGATCCCCTGATAAAGATAAATAAAGGGATTGTTTTTTTCCAAGCTAAGCACGAAGAACAGCGGATTCTGAGAATGAGATCTGATTACTGATCCCCTGCCCTTCTTCATAACACGCAACGTGTCACAAAAGCGTGAGATCAAACGATCGTCCAGAAAGACGAGGCCAAGCTGAGAAAGAAGGGTCACAATCATAAAAGTCTCACTGTATGGGATTTTAAAATTTGCTTAGAAATCGATAAACATATTTTACAAGAATGATTTAAGAACTTCTGCGACACATGTTCACTGCATTACTCTGTACAGTGTGATCCGTACAGAGCTGACAGCACTCTCACGTGGCAAATGACCCCTACATTTAAAGGCACTCTAACATTAACTATAGTTGCCCTTTTAAACTCAAATGGTTTCTTCTGATTTTTATAGACCATCATTATCAGCCACTGTTCAACTGCTCCTTTCAAGTTAACAGCCCCGTAGTAAATAAGCGTACGATTACGGTGGGAACATCATCATCTTCATCATCATCATCATCCGCAGGGGGGTGTAATACCAGATGGGTGAAAAAAATATAGTGCTATATTACAACACAGCTTACCCAAAATGTTCTAACATGTCGATTAAATATAGCGTCACTGAAATATTCTAATCCAGAATTTAGGAGTCACCTCTATGAAATCAACGTGTTGGAATATGCAGTCCTAAAAGACGGCACTAATTATTTTTTTATGTTTAGTTTGTTGTCAGAAAAATAAAACACACCCAGGTGTCTTGTTTACAAGGAAATGTTCATTCCTCATACGAAAGTATTCCTTTCGGAAAGTATCAGTATCCCTTACGATGGGATTATTTACGGCCAACGTTGCATTTTTGCTTCAAGATACTGCCGCCTTTTTGGACTTTAAACCTGAAGCAGCTGAATGACAGCGCCAGTAGAGAAAAGGCTGTATGCAAGATCACGGCAGTAAAATGGTGAATAAATGAATATCTATTCTATTCCAGAGCGGTCAGGTCATTCATAAAGAAAATATACATTGCATACATGCGTACAACGTTTGAAAAGTATGTTGCTAGTAACTTATTTGTAAGCATTGTGCAGTGGTAAAATGGTTAGTATGGTAGCAACTTGCTATCATAGTAATCATTATTTTACCACGTGCATAATGTATAAAGATGAACGTGTTGAAAGTTAAAAAATAAAAAAACTCTGCGTCTTCGGCCTCGATAACACGTCAATATCCGAAAGCCCCTATCGTAATTGCACTTTACATGAGGGGATCCCACCACACAGCCAAACGGGGGATTTCGAAGGCAGCCCTCCGAAAGTTTTCTGAAACTCGTAAAGTTAGAAGTGGAAATGCAAGCAACCATCACATGCATCAAGATCGCACTCATTAAAACCCTGCTTTGTTGCACTCATCGCCGATGGCCACAAAGGAGAGCCGTTTCCGTTGCAATCTCGTTGCAATGCACGTTTGGAGAAGGACCTTACCGGTCTTGGCTTTAATATTGGCTCTGAGCACGTCTCCGCTCGAAAGGTGTGTCAGTCCGAAGCTTTTACTTATGCGATCCGATATGGTCCCTTTTCCTGAGCCCGGTGGTCCCATGATAATCGCCCGGAAGAGTACGCGTAGACCCATTCTACCCTATTTCCAAAATAAGTGATTAACTACTAAAAAAATATATTCAAAGATCTTCCCCGTGGCGACGCCCAGCATTAAAATATGCAGCTTTCCGCCGCTAAATAAAATAATAATAAAAAAAAAAAGATATATATATATATGTATATATAAAATAATGAGCTTGAGCGTCTGGATGCCTTGATGCCGCTTTGCTGGCAGGCGTCCCTGAGAAAAAAAAGCTGTTTTTTAAAAGCCTGACGCGGACGGAGGAGGAGGAGGAGGAACGGCTGCATTGCAGGAAGTTGAAAGCAGACACGGGACCCTCTGCGAGCGCGGCGCGATGCGCGCTTACATTCCCATCAGATACACAGCCTGCAGTATAAGCTGACGTGGTGCCGCGCAAAAAAAGGGGAAATGTTCGCCCTTTCTACTTAATAATCTGCTTAAATAAGGCTACGTTTGTTGTCCTGGTCCTCGGGACATCCGTCGTGGGAATTTTAGGTTCATATTTCACCTGTTGGATTTGCATCGTCTGTCATTTTCATTGTAAAGCAGCCGTGATCAGTAGCTATTTTTGGGGATGTTTTTTTGAAAATCATTCGTATATATTTATATGTATCCAAGTTCTCCCGATAGTGAACTGAATAGTTAAACTGGAGTCGATGACTCGTATTATAATGTAAGGAGGTTTTTTTGCTGGATTGTCTGTATTAGACAAAAAGGCACGCACACAAACACACGCACACAGGTGCATAAATGCGTGTGTGTGTGTATATATATAACCTATATTATTGTGGTTAAAAGGGGTGCCACCTTTCAAAAAGCAAAAAACCAAGCGGGCACCGCCTAGCGATTAACTCGTCCTACCGGGAGACTGAAATGTGCACGTATTGAATGGCAGGTACCTTAAGGGTGTAATTTAACGGAACCTGATTGGTTAGTTTTTAATTTTGTTTCTATGCTTGTTTTTGGGTGTCTGTAATAAACGCCATGTTCAGACACAGTACCCCCGACTCCCTGGGCTGCTGTTTGACTTTGTGACTGTCATTTGAATGGAAGCTGTATGTTAATTGTAAAAAGGGTGCAACTGATCATCGCTTGGTGGTGAATTTGGATTCAGCATTCAAGGCAACAGATTTACAGAGGAATACTGAGGTTTCTTGGGAATAACCACTGTAGGTACAACTCCTACCTTTCAAAAAGCTTTTTTTTTTGGTATCCAGAGTCACTTCAGGGACACTGAGTCTAGTCAGTGGGCTGTTGGTTTCTGTCATTCTGTCATAACACATGGACCTCTCGATAGCAGTGAGGGAAGTTGAAGAAGGTGGCTTTCAGAACGATCCTTTCAGAGGGATCTGTTGATTTTAGTCAAGCGGTACTGTCTGGCCCAGATGACCACAGCAGGTATTAGCAGAGACAGGGATTAGTTTGGAGAAGCCTTGGCCTCAAAATTATTGTGGTTAACGACATGTGAGGTTTCTCTTCAGGTGTGATAAAGGTAAAAAGGTGCTGACCTGGATAGATTGTTGAATAGCTGGGGATACATCTTGAATAACACCTGAGACTGATGGACGTCTCCCTGTCAGGGACAGGCTGAAGGCTTTTGTGGATCAGATTCTGACACTATGCTCAATCTGGTTTCGATTCTTGCCAAGGAACGGTGCACAGCTGTGTGTGTGTGTAATGTAAGTCCGATCACAGGATAAAGGCTGGTTTATACGTCTGTGACAAGCCTACAGTGTATGTAGGGCAGAAGCTGATGTGCGTCACACTAAAATGCAACTACACGTCGTGTTGATGTACACCCCTACGATTGTGATTGGTGAGCTTGATAAACATGGGGTGGAAATGCTGCTGGGTGTTGCTTTCCACAGACCTTAACAGATTCACAACATTATGGAGGACACTGTCCTTGGGGCTACTTGGTAGCTAGCTGTAACTGCTTGTTGACTTCTACCTGAAGCTAGGACATGAACGGTCATTGTTAGTCTCATGGGAATGTCGACAGGCATATTGTGCATAGACTGGTCTGCGATAAATGGGCACAACAAAGCAAATGATCAAATCTATGTGCTGACATTCAAAAATATCTGAAATGTATCTCTTTGTCCATCGCAATCAGTTGTTGTTTCAGCATGGAAAATCACCTCCCTGTGTCTCGTTATGTTCACCGGTCTTACATGCCATTGAACGCTGCCACAGCGTGGTTTAAATGGCATAGGCTATTTGTATGGTTATGGTGTAGGCTTGGTATAGAAGGATAATTCACCCTTAAAACTGAATTCTGGTAGGTGAATTCAGTAGCTGTTATCAATGAAAAGCCAGACTGTGACAAAATGCCACCTCATCGCACACCCAGCTGTAGCTATATTCAGATCCAAAGCCCTGGAGATGTAAGCAGTCAACATTATTTGCTCAATCATACAATGAAAAATGCTTTTGGTAGAACAAAAAAAGAGCACAAATGTCTGCTGTAACATAGTGGAGTTGAATATATAGATTTGGTGTATGTAGGGCAAAGAACTTGCCATGAAGTGTCATGCACCACTAGGTTTCCGAAAACAATTAGAACTTTTTATGTGCTTCTGCCCATATAATATAATTCTATCCATATGACAATTATACTTTTTAATATCACTTAATATCTTAGTGTGTTTTCTTTATAGGATATAACAAAGTCCTAAAGTTTGGGGGGGGGGGGGTTGTGGCACAGTGATGCGGTGGTTAGCCCTGTTACTTCACGCCTCTGGGTCCAGGGTTTGACCCTCCCCTATGGCTCTGTGTGTGGAGTTTGCATGTTATCCCCATGCTGAGCTTAACTGGAGTTACCAAACTGCATGTGATTGGACCCCCCTAGGCTATCCCTCTATGACCCAGAATGGCATAAGCAGCATGGAATGCATGGATCAAGCTTTAGTGATATATGCAAAAGCCATTTTGTGGGGTAACTGCATTCCTCCAAACGGTAGATAAACAATTATTTTCATCAGGCTGAAGTATAAGTGGATGTGCGTGTGTTATTATGCAACGTTTCATGTGTTTGTCACTCTGCAGATTAGGCAGCTGTGCTCGTGTCTGAAAGGTTGCTGGTTTGAATTCCACGCCTGGCAGAGTGATGATGTCACTGCTGGACCCTTGAAGAAGACCCTCAACCAGAACTGTCCCAGGGGTGCAGAATAAATGCCTGCCCCTATTCTCTGACCCCAATCAAAAACAATATCATTAAGATTAGTTACAAGCTCAGTTCAGCTATTCAAAATTCATCTCTGGAAGCCATTGCCAGCCCAGCACTTTGCAGGTCACCATCGGCCCACCAGGGGTCTCCCCTCTTTAGCAAACTCAGCTTTTTTCAGCTGGGTCCTGTATCACAAAGCAGGCTTTCTTGCTTAGCCGGATAACTTGTCAGATTTATGGTAGTCTGGGCTGAATGTAAGTTAATGAAGATTAAGTTAATATAAACTGGGGTGCCATAAATCTGATAAGTTATCCAGCTAAGCAAGAAATCCTGCTTTATGATACAGGCCGCAGAACTTGTCCAAAGTAATTTTTGGCTACAGATTCTCTGGTCCTCATTGTCCTGGACAGACAATGTACTCTTTCTCTATACATGGATTAGCTTAAGTGACCATTGTCTAAAATTCTTTCATCTTGAATTAAATCATTTGTTGTAGAAAACATCATTGGAGACTCTTAGGGCCACTTCATGACAGTGAACTTATGAGTAACATATTTCCATCTTTATGATGTTAACTTGAATAATTCACACAGTTCATCCCCAAGTAATTCCATTTCAATACGTAACATGACAAACAAAATTGACTCTTGTTCATTACCCTTTATTAAGTCAACTCTGCACCATGTTAATCTCCTCTTTCAATTAAATTATAGTTTCAGTTTATTTATTGTAGCAACAGCGCAAGTAAGGTTCTAGTATAGTTACTGACGAGATTGGGTGTAGATGCTTTCAGGATCCAAATAGTAAAATTTTTTTATTTTAATCTTCGGCTTTTCTTGTTCTTGTTTCACTTTCCATGAAATGTATATATTTGAGCATTTTATTCCATTTTGTAATCACTTTTGTTGACATTTTTCTAGTACGAGTACGGTGTTGAATACTGGTAAGCATTCGGTTCAGTTTGTCCCTCTTGGCGACCCGTACCGCTGTAACCCTTCACCTTTCCTATATACATCCTGCCTAAGCATTCAAACCACGTGCATGCAGGCAGCCCTGCAGCAACAACAACATGGCGAGCCAGGGTCTCACATATGAAGGGTGTAATTTCTTTAGGCAACGGCTCATTTTATCCACATTGACTGGAAAATGGGTCAAAATCAAAAACATTCGTTCAAGTGATGATAATCCCGGACTTCAAGGTAGGTAACGGAATCGCAGTCAGCTATCATTGGTGTGTTTATATTTACAGTTTGGCATCTGGATGACTTAAAACATAGTCAACTGATATTGTCATAATTTGTACCTGTATGTGAAAGCGTTTATAAGTATAAAGCGACAATTTCGACAGGTTCATTTTAAACGCACCTTTAATATATAGCAATTTGTTGAACAGCCATGGTTCATGTATTAAACAGCTGCTTATTTGCACTTTTATTTTAATTTTTATTCATTTTTTATTATCTTGATCCTTTTGCAAAGAAAGCACGGACTGGCTGTGAGTTTGTTTTTATAACGTAACTTGCCCAGTTCCAAACCGCATCACTCGGCAAAATGACCGGCCAGCTGTGTTCGCTCTCTATAGACTTGCAGTCTGTCTGTTTGCATGCTGTATTAAGCATTATTTTTCTATACAAAGTGCACGCTTAAATTCGGAAACGGATCTATGCCGATCATCTCTCATTTCAGTATTGTGCGCCAAGTTTTATGGTTTGATTTGTGTAACTTAATTTGCAGTTTGTAGATGGGTCAAGAAAAACTAGAGTAGAGAGTAGTTTATATCTGTTTTTTTTTGTGTAAATAATAGCATGCTATGCGCCTTTAAACAGTATTGTATGGTTCACATTACATTTAAACTGGTTGACTACATAGTTACATAACTTGAGAATAAGAGACGATAATATTAATATGTTATTACAGTGTGAAATAGGTCAGCTTTGTGTCTTGTAACATATAACTGTCCTTTAAGTGTTTCAGGCGTGGGCGGTGGTTTTTGGTTATTATTAGATATTATTTGTTTGGATTCCTTGCTGACAGCTGCCTGGTTATTGGTTTATTAACTGGAATCAAGGATGTCATTTATTTCAATCAGTTTGCATCTATAATGTTTTAAGCGCCGCTGTTCACCAGGTGAGGAATGTTAGAATAAATAGTTTTCTTTTTAATCGTCTTGCTTTTTTGTGTACATTGTATAGATTTTGAAGCCAGCTTCATTAGACTTTTGGACAAAGTAACCAATGGCACCAGAATTGAAATTAATCAAACAGGTAAGATGAAATTAAATGAATCTGTATCATCACTCTACTTTGGTGAAGCGCTGCTTATCAGCTGAGACCCTGCTTTACCAATAATGCTAACTACCATGCTCTCTTAGTGAGGCTTCTAGCATTAGACTATTTTACCCCAGAGTGGTGTCCAGCCCGCATAGGTGCTGTATATAGGTGCTGGTATTGATCTAATATTTAATGCTTTTGCTCAGTAGGTGCATAAGTGTTGTTCTTCATGGCACTTTTCATGATGAAGGCTTTATAGATGGTTAGGTTTTTAAGTAGATTGCTGAGACAAATATAACTATTGACGTAATAAGTAATGTTTGAGTAATGCTTCACTCTGAGTGGTTATTGACGATTTCTTAGATATTGCCGATGAGTCCCAGTGTGTGTATTTGCAGCTCACTTTCCCTGCTGGTACTGCCTTATGCTTTGCCTCGCGATGTACAGTATGGTGTTTGTTCTGTCCCACAGGTACTGTTCTCTTCTACCAGCCGGGCCTGCTCTACGGGGGCACTGTGGAGCACGACTGCAACATGCAGCGCTCAGTGGGTTACTACCTGGAGGCCCTTTTGATGCTGGCCCCCTTCGTGAAGAGTCCACTGCGAGCCACTCTCATGGGCGTCACCAATGACCAGCGAGACCCCTCTGTAAGCCCTGCCTCCCACCTGCATTGTCCAATGAGCAGAGAGACTCCTCTAAGCCCCGCCTCCCACCTGCATTGTCTGCCAGGATATATGCATAGACAGACACTTAATGAGTATTAATGCCATAGGAATTTGCAGGTTTATAGTATCACAGCACACATAGCAAAAATGATAAGACAGTAATAACAAAAAGTAAAGTAATTAAACTTAAAATGTAACACCCCCCCCCAATAATAACTCTGGAGTGATTAGTTTCGGTGCTTTTGTCACTCAGATTTGTACTGCTGCGTAACATTAACAGTCATGTGGATCCATAATGACTTTGGGTCCAAAATGATTTCTACCCTTAGGGGGCGCTCTTGGTTAAAGGCACCATTAAAGAAACTGAACCTCTGATTTCAATGTAGTGAGAGGATTTTTCCAGTGTGTAATATAAATTATGTTTTGACTCCTAGGTGGATACATTGAAGGCCACCTCCATTCCCCTGATGAAGCACTTTGGACTTGATGGCGAGGGTCTTGAGTTGAAGGTTGGGTTTGTGGGGTCTTGCTTTCGATTGTGTCATGTTCACCTGTTGAAAGCTGGCCCTTGGCACAGTCATGTCTTGTTGCTTTTAAGTAATGTTTTATAAGTAGGGCTGGGCATCATTCAAAATTTTTTGATATCGCTACCAGAACAATACCTTGATTTCAATACCTCGATTGGTGCATACAATCAGACATGTAACATAATTGATAAATATAGAAATAAAATAAAATAGAAAAAAAGTAAACATTTTATGTGCATTACTTCCTATTATTAAGAAGTTACATTTTTGCCAAGATATTTTGAAATGTGCATGTGTTATTTGCTTTTCTTTATTGGTCCTGGAATGGTGTTTTTGTGAAGGTACTATGTCGGGTCCGTAACGACTCATAATATATCTGTAATAAACTTAAGCTTCAAACTCTGTGACTTCACTCTGCCACTCACTGCAGCACCCAGAATCGCCAGGGATCTTGAGGAATGTCTCTTGTGTGCAGATCGCAAAGCGGGGGATGCCCCCTGGTGGTGGAGGTGAGGTGTTTTTCACCTGTCCAGTCCGTCGCACCGTCCGTCCCATCCAGCTGACCGACCCTGGGAAAATCAAGCGCATCCGCGGGACAGCGTATCCTTCTCACTGATGTCGAATTCGTCATTCAGACAGTCCTCAAAAAAATCCGTCTTATTTGTAAACTGTTTCCTGAAAGATTGTGTTATGTTGTTTTTTTCTGTGAAGGACTATTGTGTAACACTTGCATAACTAGATTTTATTCCTTGATGTGTCTGTTCAGATATTCAGTAAGAGTTTCCCCACAAATGGCAAACAGAATAGTGGACTCTGCCCGGAACATTCTCAACAAATTTATTCCCGATATTTACATACACACGGACCACATGAAGGGCACGAATGCGGGGAAGTAAGTCTCTCATGCAGCTGCTGTTTATTCTCTCGTTGGTCTCTAGATGGAGACATTCAAAGAGGGTTCAGTTCTGAAGCTTTTCGGATCAGTGTTTTCTTTCATTTTGAAAATGACATTTGTCATTTCCAGCAAGTGTGCTTCTAAAGGGTAGCTGTCTGGTCCTGCTGAGTCCTGATTTGTCCCTTAGGTCCCCAGGGTTTGGCCTTACGCTTGTGGCTGAGACAACAAATGGCACGTTTCTTAGCGCGGAGCTCGTCTCCAACCCGCAGGGACAGGGCAGCCCAATGCTCCCAGAGGACCTCGGGAGGAACTGTGCCAAGCTGCTGTTGGAGGAGATCTACAGGGTAAGCAGTCCTGGCCCACTGCCTATCACCACTGAAGGTTGCTCAGTGTTAAACTGCCGTTGACCTCACGGTTTTATCCAATGGCTGTTTGCTCTGTGAACATTTCGGCCAATGACCTGTTATTTTGCGTTTGAGCGGTCTTGCACTCTGATTTCCTGCTTGGGTTACCCGTGACTGTTGTCATCATACTGCAGCTGACGTTGTTCTGTATTGTTGCCTATGTGTCCGGATCGTTTTCACGGATTAAAGCCCCTTTCAGACACGTACTGCCACCCAGAACTTTTCTAGACGTTACCCAGAGGGTCCGTATGTGTCAACGCAAACCTCTCAATCAATCGTATCAGTCAGTAAATGGACTTTACCCTGCAAGCTCCCCAGTACGAATCCCGGGTAGTTTCCGAATTGACCCCCATGTGTGAATGGAGCAAGGAGAATTACGGAGAATTCACCGCGAGCGAGTGGGCGTGTTAGTGACGTTTCTGTCATGCAACTGGTGCAAATATGGAAAGATACAAACATCCGTGAGCGAAAGAAGACCCCAGCGAACATGGCTAGCTGGAGAGACGAGATTCGGCAACTTCTGTCAGTGGTGCTGTAAACAAGCCTCTTTGATTTCCGCAGCATCCTTTTTGCATGTCCTGTCTCCAGCGTGCTCTACCCAAACCCTAACCCTCATCTAAACCAACCAGAGTATTTCCTGTAGGTGTGAACACATCTGACACATACTGTCTCCGGTTGTGCAGGACAACTCTGGGGGGGGAAAAAGTCCGGACCTGATTCTCCAGACAACGTCCAGAGTTCATGTGTGGAAACGGCTTGAGGTTTCTATCGGGCCTGGAATCTGGAATGCCTTAGCCCTGTGCTGAATGTCTTAAATGCTAGCTAAATTGAGGAAGCCGGTAATCACGACTGAATGCATGTCTTGTCAGACGTGGCTGTTGTGTCACGTTGCAGGGTCAGCATACTTTGTGTTCGTCTCTCAGTAAAAGGTCGGCGTGAGAAGTGAGTCCTCTTCCTCACCTGAGGGAGATGCAGGCCGCAGGGAGGCGGACGTTAGCACTACCGGTGACAGTCAACCTTCTTAGATTTTATCAGTAGTTCTCAGGCTGCTACAAACAGTAGGCAAAAAAGCCTTTGATTTAACATTGTTTTTAAAATTGTTCAAATGTAATTGCATTGCGGTTTTTTCTTCAGTTGTGCGGGAGTCAAATTTTCTTGCATTTGTACGTCAAACCATTTTTTGATAAATGTTTACCCAGGGTAATGTTGATCTGGGTCCTGTTCCAGAAAGCAAAGGGCATAAAGGAGATCATGCTTACACACACACACAAACACAAAGACCTTTTAGTTACTAGTTCACCTGGACCTGGCTGGACGCCCGTACACAACTGAGGCAATAATGGTAGCTGCATGCAAAATACGTGAATCCTAAAAGCAATACAGACATAACTGGTGCCTTGTCACGCTTCAGTATTACATACAATTAGGCTACGTAATACGATATCTCAAATTAATATTAAATATGTGGTTTACATTTCTGCGGATTCTCGTAGGTCTGGAATGCGAATGAGGGAGAAGTTAGGCCTTATTAAAGTATAATCTGCTTCAGCTCTTGTGTGACGACGCGAAGGGGCTGACGTCTCCCAAACAGAAATGCAGGCCTCATATTAAGTTAGCGTTCAGCGCTGTGGGCTCCCAGGTCATGAAGAGCATGTGAATTCTGTTAGTGAAATTTCAAGAATTTTTGAATGTGGAGCGGCGTTATGCTCCTTGTTTTACCGCGAGCTGCTCTGGAAACCGCTTGGCATTGGTTGGTGGATGATCGGGGCGTGCGGTGGGAGAGGGGGAGAGATAACAGGCCGTGCTGAGACCTGTTAATGTTTGAGATGGGCGCTGGGGTGCTCTAGTAGATGGCTAGCTACTAATATTTGGTTTATGGTTAATCAGTAGCTACTGGCCGTCATTGTAGTGGACAGGAGCAAAGGGCTGACAGAACCTGGTGAAGAAGCATGTAGCAAAGTAGAATTTGACGTAAGTGCTGTATATTCAAGCTGGATTATCTTCTGTTAAGTTGCCTTTAAGTTTAAAGGAGAACGTCAGCTGAGATGCAGTGTTTCGTCTGCTGCCGCCATGCTTTTATTGTAAATACGAGTTCCGAAATGTCGCCTTCGGAGAGACGTTTGTTTTGGCTTACTCAGTCATATTTCAGTAATGCACGTTTGTTTGGTGTTTTCATCCAGGTCAGGTATGGATGGTGCATAGAAAGAGTCTTGCAAAGCTTGTTGCCCTTCCCAAAGCTTTTCTACTAAATTAAGCTCTAAAAAAATGTCCTCCAGTAGCTCAGTGTGGAGCAACGTGATTTCAGGCAACCAGTTAACTATCACAGATGCAGGAGACTCTGAAATAATTAATTAGTATAATTAGTATAATATGGATGAGGTGCTGGAGCACCTGAGAAAAACCATCGATTTTTATGTTGTGTTGAATTAAGCATGTCAGAAAGCCAGTATAGAGATCGTTTGCTGTGTTTTATTCTTTCTGCTGTCATAATTTCCACTAGACTATAGGACACAGTCTACTTTTGGTATGTGAATACACTGCTTCTTATGCTCTGGATAGCTGTAAGAATTTGGTATGAAGTTTACTAGTAATATTGCAAGTTTACTTTTCCAGTTTTTAGTGTGTTCCTGAGACGAAAGTGATACAAGGAATATCAAACTTTTGATATTCAACATTTTTGAAGCCTTAAAATAGCAGAGATGCGATCTGATATGCTTACGCAGTGATCACAGAAACTGACATTTGGAGAATAAGCTCTTCTGTTAGAGGTTTTTGTCCTTTTGGATTCTGGGGACTTTTCCAAGAGACGTTTTGGCTGTTTGGAATTTAAGATTGTCTTTCAGCTAAATTTACATTCTGTCTCCCCCCTTGCGTCCCCTCGCCTCAGGGGAGCCCATCCTGAATTTATAAAGCCATCCTTGTTCAGTTCACTATCACTATTAGTGATTCTTTTGACGTTTTTGTTAGTCCTTCAGGAGAGAACGAACGCACTGCACTTGTAAGTTCTGTATAATTTCTTGAATTGTGTTTTGGTATGTGAATACACTGCTTGGGCTGGATGGTACAGTTTTTGTTTAAACTTTGTTTGACATATTTTTCCGAGATGAGCCTGAGCTCAGACGCGAACGATGTTGATAATCCAGTAGGAAATGCTGACTTGACGAGCCTTGTCTGCATTTTCAGAAAGTTACTTTCTCGACAGTCACAGAGAATCAGCATTCTTGAAATTTCAGGCTGACTGGGCTTAGGACCCTTATCAGACAAAGTAATAACGGGCCCTCCAATATGAAGCATGTTCTCAGCAGTCAGCACTATGCAGAGAAATGCTTCAGTGAATAGTTCAGCCTCTTGACTTGAGTGTCACCTGATAAACACTCCCTTTTACTTTTGAATTTGCCTCATTAACTTTCATGGAATTGTTTTTGACTTATGAAATCTGTTTATGTAATGCATAATTTCGGTTTGGCATGTGTGCAAAATTGCACAATGAATTCTTTGTAATGCACCATTTCTGTGCTGTAATTTTCTACTCATGGTGCTTTAATCATTTTTTGACGAAATCTTTTAACTTGCATTTTGTATCCTATAATATACATGATTTGGCAGCATATTGTTACTCCTGTTGCATTCTCATTAATTTGAATCAATTACTGAATGGTGAGAAAAGACAGCACATCCAAATCTCAACCTTTTCTAAATCTGAGTTTTCACTTTTCTGAATCTTTCACTCCAACCAAATGCAATATGACTGGAATGAGGGGGGGGGGGGGAATTTAACACCTGATGTGAATAACAGGCAACAAAATACAAAAAGACGCCCCTGTTTTGTAAGACGTTAACTTGCCTAGTTTGCTTAAGACTTCTTGTTAGGTGATGGAAATCTTAATTGACATCTTCAAAATTATTTTTTTTTAAATTTCTTGGTATACTCAAGTAAATTTTTTTAAGTAGTTTTTTTATAACACTGGAATACTAATAAATGAGTAATTCAAACGGGCTGGCGCTAACCAATCATTTTGCTGTGTTTCAGGGTGGCTGTGTGGACTCGACCAATCAGAGTCTGGCACTCCTCTACATGACACTGGGACAGCAGGACGTGTCTAAAGCACTCCTGGGCCCATTGTCATCCTACACGTAAGTCATTCCCCCGCCCTCTTCAGACTTGGCACTACCAGCAAACCAAACTAAAGTTCGCTCCCCTTCGCAGGAAATTCTGCCCGTGGTTGATAAACAGCGTTACTTGGAAAACATCGTATGTTGAATATCCAGCTAATCTTTACTTCTCTTCATTGGAACAGTCATTGATCAGATAAAATGGCGTTCTACCTTATCGCAGTATAATCCTCTTTCCATTTCTGTAATTTAATTGAAAGTCCTGATTAATTCTTTCAGTATTTTCTATGTGCAGTCAATGGTTGTCCTGTCAATCAATATACAGTATTTTAAAGTGTGTAATCCGTTCCTCCGTGTGTGTGTGTGCGCGTGTGTGTGTGTGCGCGTGTGTGTGTGTGCGCGCGTGTGTGTGTGTGCGCGTGTGTGTGTGCGCGCGTGTGTGTGTGTGCGCGTGTGTGTGTGTGCGCGTGTGTGTGTGCGTGTGTGTGTGTGTGTAGTGTCTATGTAATGTGTGTGTGTGTAATGTGTTCCCTAGGAACTGAACAAAACTGCTGACCACTGTGTGCAGTGAACATGACACGTAATGTGACATGAAGACACTTTGGTTGCTACTCTGGGGAGAACAACCACGCCATGCAGGGATTTCTCAACACACTAGTGTGTTATGGATGTTACTTTTTTCCTGGGAGGGGAGGGGAGAGGGGTGTGATCCAGCAAGGCGGGAGCTCTGCGTGTTCTGGCTGTCAGACTGTGTTTGGCCGGCTGTCAAAGCGGAAGCAGAGGGCAGCGAGCAGCAAGGACGGGAAGGATGTGGGCGAGCTGATTCCATGTGGAATGATATGGCAACCTGCCCCCCCAAGACACAAACATACAAAAACTGTTCCTGCTGGGAACAACAAATGATAAAAAAAAAATATACTGGATTTCCCCTGTAAAACCAGGTGTTCCTCTTGGAGTAATGCCCAGTCATGTCAGTACCAGTTTGTTCTCGACTCGCCATTGTTTTCTCACTCCGTTCATTGCTGCCATGGAGCTCGTTCTCCACATCTAAGGAGCCTGAACTGTCCATTTCCAGTTATCATGGTTCTCCACATCTAAGGAACCTGAACTGTCCATTTTCAGTTATCATGGTACCGGTGCTGTGTCCTTGTAAAGTACAGTACTATGATAACTGAATATTGGCAGGGTTACCGCAATAGTCAGCAGCACATCTCCAGGTAGACTTCAGCCTCTAGTGCTTGGGGTACAGATGTATTCAGCCCCCTCCCTCACTGGAACTGAACTGAATATTTCATTGTGTAAGCTTTTTACTGAAAGCCTTTCACAAGTGTTATTTTTTTGGTGTTTGTTTTCATGTAGTAGGTCACCCTGCCTCTTGTCTGCATATTCTAGTGATTGTAGTAAACTTTGCCCCTAAGGGCTTTCATTCTGCTGTTGTACTACACAGGCATCTCTAGTGCGACACTTGTGTGGCTTTTTGTTCAAAGCCTCTTGTGCATGTCAGAACTCTCCTGAAGAAACCTGGGTGTTCAGCCTGCTATTAAAGGAAAGGCAGAACCATTCAGATTCCCATTCCAGTCCTCGGGGACCCCCCCAGACAGTCCATGTTTTTGCTCCCTCCCAGCTCCCAGCCAATCAAGAACACCAAATACCAGGTCTGGGTGTGTTAGCAGCTGGGAGGGAGCAAAAACGTGGACCATCTGGGGGGTCCCCCAGGACCGGGTTGGGAAACACTGCACTGGAGCTTGGATATGATAGATATATATGAAATGTGGGGTTTGTGATGTTTTTTCCTTGTATCTATAGAAGTTTAAGCGTTGATGTTTTATTAGTACGAGCCAGGCATGCCACATTCCTCGCATCCTGTGGTTACCACCATGGCTCCCACACTCTGACGCAGTTAAACATCCCTGCCTCCTCCTCTCCCTTCCAGAATCGAGTTCCTCCGGCACATCAGGGACTTCTTCCAGATCATGTTCAAGATCGAAACCCAGATGCCAGAGGAGGACAGCCGTAGAGGAGGGAGCAAAGTGCTGGTGACCTGCGTGGGAGCTGGCTTTGCCAACATCAGCAAAACCCTCAAATAAGACTTCATGTCAGCATAGTTTTTTTTTTAAATCCAATGTGTAAGCCTTCTGGCATCTCTGAATCTGTGGGCCATTTCTTTTTTAGATATTTTGTTGCTTAGTACAGAAACTTTTTATTGAAGACCTTTGTACCATCATCTGTAAATAGGCAATGTAATAAAGTTAAGGTATTTTGACACTTTTGTAGCTTCCTGTGAAATTCTTTGAGTACTTTTCAAGCATATTCCGGCTGATTTAGTGAAGCATATTTAGGCTGATTTAGTGAAAATACATGAGTGAAGGATTATACTTTTTTTTAAACCAACAGTCTTCCAGCTCTTGGGAATTTTGCTTACACAAAAATATTCTGTGGGCAGAATGAAAAATGATTGGCTCAGAGATAACAAATCAGATTGTAGAGGAGGTAGGTCCAAGCAACTGAAGGAGGTGGGACCAGCCAATCGGATGTCCTGGTCCCTCCTCTAGTTGCTTGGACCCACCTCCTCTACAATTTGATTGGTTTAGAGAGATAACCAATCATTCTTAGTTGTGCCCTCAGAACATTTTTGTGTGTAAGTCAAACACCCACAAGCAGTCTTCCAGCTGCTTCTCCAGTACAGGTTCATGCGGCTGTTCAGGGCACAACACAGGCAAACACCCTGCACAGGACGCCAGTCCATCCATGTAGCTGGGTGAACTGGTGTCTCTAAATTGCCCATAGTAGGGGGGTGGCTGCACCCTCTCCCTGCTTCTGGAATTATGGATTGTGCTAGATATGCTCTTTTAATAGTTCGTAGTAGCATATTTAAGTTTTCATCAGCCTGTATGCTGATATTAATCTGCTCTTTCCGGAATGAGTTTTTTAATCTTTAGTATAGTATAGGAAGAAAAGTTACTTTGGTATGAAAGTATTAGTATTGGCTGCATAACTTATGAGTCATACTTTGCTAATGTTAAAAAGCAATTTCTAAATAACACCAAAAATAAAAACAGCAGTAAGGCAAAATGCAGTTATCTGTCTCACGTAGTCAGAAGGGGTCATAACCTATGAACCTACAAATTGTAACTTTTTTTGGGTTATTTAATGTATCTCAAGATAGATGAATAGAACTGGACTTTGAAACCTTTCAACTAGACCGACATGCATGAAAAGCTACTGTGTGTCAGCATTTGAAACTGAAGTAACATGTCAATGTCCTAACCCTCCTTTCAGTACAAGAGTTGAAAACAGACAAGTTTAACATAAACACCAAATGAAATCTAATCGTGATTGTTTTTGGCTGCTTCACGTGATAGCACATGTGAGCCTAGTAATGGTAACTGTATTTTGAGTTTCTTAATGTTTCTCAAAATGGGTGATCAGAACTGGACTTTGAGACGGTTCATCTTACATCGACATGCATAAAAAGCTACTTTGTAGGAGAATTTGAAACTGAAGTAACACACAATGTCAATGTCCTTTTCCCTAAAACTGGGGTTTCAGTACAAGAATCGAAAATTTCTTAACATAAACACCAAATGAAATCTAACCTTAATTGTTTTTGGCTACTTCATATGACAACATATGTGGAAAATATTTTAATGTTTTAAAATTAAGATTGCATAGCTGTCACCTCTCTCACAGTGGCAATCTTACTGTGTATCTGTAGATCTGCAGGTTAGGAAACAGCGAAGGATATTCTGAATTGTAATATATTAATGAAACGGTAGGTGTGTGAGTTTGTATACGAAATGAGATTTGAAAATAGAAAAAAGGCTTTATTGTCATTGTACTGCAGTACAACTCGATTAAGGTTAATTTTCCTGATTGGTGCTAGTTAATAGGGGAATAAAAGGACTGAAAAGTACAAAATATAAAAGTGTAGTGTGTGTAGTTCCAGAGATGCTTTGAGAATTGGTTTTAAATTCTGCAAAGAACTAATTAATAATTTGGAAACTGGTTATCCATGATACATGAATAGTTCTTATATCTACCAAGAAATTCATTAATTGTCTATAACTGTCCTATCCAATAAATAGTCAAAGAACATGATGAGCGAGTAGCAAGGACAAAAAGAAATATAAAACTAAGAAATATGAAAGCTATAAATTAATGAACTAAATTAACATAATTAAATAACTACAAATTAACTAGGGAAATCCCACACTGTGAAGGGGGCGGCATGGTGTCGCAGTGGTTTGCACTGTCGCCTCACACCTCTGGGGGCAGCGTTTGAGTCTCTGCCGTGGCTCCAAGTGTGTGGAGTTAGCATGTCCTCCCTTTGTCCCTTTGTCATGAAAATCTGTTCCTATGTTTATGAATATGCTCCTTAGAGCTAACAGTGCGATGCACTTTAGTGAATCACATACTTTAGCACGATTCTCTTTTCGTTTTATTTATGTCCTAGTGAAATGGATATGTTTTGGTACTATGCTTGTATGATGCATGTTGGCATATACGCACGTCCTTTGTTTGTCTGTGTCATATGTCTTGAAGTGGCTGAGTGACCCATGCACACACATTTCCATGTTACTGTATACCTGTACCGGTATACCTGTACAAATGGGGAGTAAAGTATCTTATTCTGTTCTTAATTCAATCAGATAACCATGTTTGAATTTCCTTCTGGGACCAATAAAATGTATCTAATCTAATCTGATCTGATGATAATTTACCGCTACCATTCATGTTCAACCGCTGTTATTAGATTATCTGTGATATTATTTAATAAATTGGGAACATTGCTAAATACTGTGTCTCAGACGGGCATTATACTATAGCGGTGCCATTTTAATTAATACGTGTGTCGGGCAGAAGCGGTAATACGCCACCTGGAGGCGAATGCCTTACACTAGCACCGGCGTGTGCACAACTGAAAAAAACCCTGAACAATTCCGTAAAACTAATGTAATTTCCCATTTGATTGAACAACTTTTTACTATATTAATAATTCACACTGCCAAATACAAATGGAATAAAGGAATATACACAAAGAAAAGAAAATCCAGGAAAGCGCAAACAGAGCGCACACAAACGAAAATACACCAAATAACCTTACAGATGCATACAATTGCATAATACCTGAAAGTGAATATTGCATTTTCTGGTAGAACGTTATAGGATGGGGAGGACGCAATCGCAGGGTGCGGGGCCCATTATCTCGGGGATACACTTGGCTTTGCGCTGCAGGGTGTCACGGAAGGCGGCGGAGGCTCTGGGTGCCGGGAATGCAGGCTGCCCGAATACGTGGGATCCGCACTTCGGTTGATCCGTTCGCGGTAGGGTGACATCAGCCGCCGCCTGCATGCTTTCCCATCAGCATTCACGCCCCGATCCTTTCAGTTTCCCCAGCCGTATCCTGAATGGCGGCGCCTGGCCGTTTAAAGCACCGCACACGTCTGGCATGTAAAAGTTGGTTTCTGTTTTCTTCGGAGCAGGTTGTGGTTCGAAATCGGTCACCTACAGGCTACAGCCAGGTACGCAACAGGCAGGCAGGCGGGTGGGCAGGCTAGCGGCCAGGTGGCGCAGGGGGGCGGGTGTTAGCGCCTCCGAGTCGCGGAAGTTAGCGTGCTAGCTGGCCAGCAAACTTCGGCGACTTGCTGTGTGGTGGCGGCGGGCTAGCAGCCGATCCGGAGGAAAGGGGGAGAGAGAGACGCTCACACGAACTGGGGCCAACCGAGACCATGACTTACGATCACGGAACGAACGCCGAGCCTTAGCGTTAAATGTGAGATCGGGGGAATTAATCGCCATTTTCGCCATTTATGTTCGGGGAGAAAAAATGGACCAAGGACCAGGGTTTATATGAACGTTCCAGGACATCTGCTAAGATACGTGGAAATCCACTTATCTACGGCTGTTTATGCCTGGTCCCAAATTTGGGATCGATCGGACACCGATTTCATTGAGGATCTGTAAAGCAGACCTGTACCGAGTGAGTATGCTATATACTTATGTACGTGGCCAAGCATGTCGCTCCCCTCTCACCTTAAGTCCATATACCGGGGTTTATATTGCTGTTGATGCGAGTAAACCACTCCGATCGGTTAATGCATAAATACCCTTTCGATCGGAGCTGTATATCCCGCTGGGTTACAGACAGACCGTTAACCACCCATTACTAATTGTAGGAGACTAGGCCACCACTAGTGCGGGCTCACTTGGCTGCAGTCGCACATGTTTTTGTTTACTTGGCACAAAGTTGCGCGTGTAGACTTACATTGATAATTGCAAGCATAATTAGAGCAGACGTGTGTTGCTTTTGCCTTAGATGGTGATTTATACCTTGCGACTGCCGATTGGCACCAGGGTAAATAAACACATCATATTACGAATGTGTTATTTAACCGGGGTCGGACACTAAAGATTTAAAATTGGAAATGCTTGGTACATTGTTCTAATTCAAATTATATTGTTATTAATACATATACATACATAAACTGATGATGTACGTGTGTGTGCGTACATCATAGATGTCTGTAATGTTTAACGGGATCTGCAGGTTAATATTCGTTCATGTTACTTTACCTCTATGATACGGGAGAATGGAAGAAAGTGTCTCGTTCACTTGTGTCTGGACATTTTTGGTTTGTCCTTCATTAGTGTATTCTGGTAGCAAAATATTTGCTATGCTGTGAAGTTTCTCCTGAAATGTATTTTATACTTTAAAAAAAAATTGATTAACAATAAAGTTTTGGTTGCATTTATTTATTTGGCTTTTTTTCAGGCAGGTCAAGCTGTTTTGGCTTCTTTGGTCCTTGCGCAAAGGTAAATGATTAAGAGGTTTGGTTTCATGCAGCGGATCATGCTTAAGTATAACCTGCTGTGCGTTTAGCACTTTTCCTGCCTGCTTTTGACTTTGTCAGTCGGGGTTTATTGCAGAAGCAGTTCTTGAGGTATTTTTATTGGTTCACTGACATCAATTACACAAAGATGATCTTGATTTAGATAAGAAACAACATGACGTGGAGAAACCATTGTCTTTTAAACAGGCAAACGTTGTGCGAACGTCACATCAACTGAGTTTGTAGGTTTTTCGCCTTTTGCCACTTGTTTCCGTTACACTCGGGAGAATTTTAAGTTAGAGTAACCAAAAAGGATGCGTTTAAGAAATCCTGTAAGGAAAATAACATATCAACTGCATGTCACTAGTGCTTACATTTTCACATTTGCTAATTAATTCTGTAATTATTTACGAAAGGTCAAACGTTTAGTTCTGTGCGC